CATTCCCATTTTAATTTGTTAATTTTTCACTTTTTTTTTTCATTTTTTTTGCTTGTTTAATAAAGAAGAAAAAAAAAACCTGTTAAATTATTCGATAATGCAGCAATTGTTAAAAAAAAAAAAGAACAAAAAAAAAAAATTCTTTTTTTTTTTTTGTGTCGCTATAAAATATCAGCATTTTTTTGATACAATATATATTGGATATTTGTGCTTTCCCCTGTTTTATATTTTCATCGAAAAAAAAAAAAAGAACTAGTTAAAATTTTGCAGAAATATACACAGACACATAAAAAACAGAAACAGTTTCAGTCTAATTAGTCGTCTTTTCTTTTCAACAAAAATCTTTTCAAAATGTGCAATTAAGCATAAGACAAAAAAAAGAAAGTTAGAAATTTTAGGTTGACAATAAACTTCAACACAACAGTTCATTAGTTTTTTGCATACATATTGTCATTTTTGGTTAAAGACAATTACAAAAAAAAACTAAAACTAAAGTGTTGAATTTAGTTAGCAATTTTAAAAAACGACAGTTCAGTTAAATTGCGAAGAAAAAAAGCTGTTGTCTACATTCAATTTTTTTGCCTTATAATTTTATCACTGTGATATATAAATGAACAGCAATTTTTGGTATCATATCAATTGAAGTCATTTCATTAGCAGTTCACTGCCTATTACAGTTATATTGAAATTATTTATCAAAATCCGTCAGTGTAATGTTGTTAACTAACAATTAAAACTAATAAATGTTAACTAAATAAACATAGGAAAAAAAAAAACTGTTAGCTAATAAAATATAGACAAAAATGTTTTTTGCACTTACAGTTTGGTACATTAATATTTCAGAAAAAAAAGTAACGATTAAACAGCTAAAAAGTATACACACCTAAAAATGTTGTACTGTTTAATCTTTGTAAACCCACTTACAGTTTCAGCAGTTTTTTTCTGTTTTTGTTTTACTTATAAAAATTAAGCACTAAGCCTAACTGTTTATTGACTATAAATGAACAGTTTAAGCGATATCATTGCAAAGAACAAATTAAGCTTTAAGTTAAACCTTTTGTTGTT